TAAGTTAGCAAGGGCATCGAAGGTCCACTCCTTGAACCAATGTAATGTTACCTGCAACTTATACAGGTACCTTTGCATTCGTTCTTCTCTAACCTCGAATATTCCATTAACTTGGTTTACCACAAGGAGGGAATCGCACTTCTCTTCGATCACCTCCGCCCCCAAGCTTTTGGCTAGTTCGATACTTGCAATCATGGCCTCATATTCAGCCTCGTTGTTAGTCAACTTTACAGTCCTAATAGATTCTCTAACTATATTGCTTGTTGGCGGCTTCAATATGATGTCGAGTTCGGACCCTTTTGCATTCGTGGCACCGTCTGTAAAGAGGGTCCAGATTCTCGAGGACGTCCCCGATTTTACCAACAAATCTTAAAATCGACCACGAAATCTGCCAAAATTTGAGATTTGATGGATGTCCAGGGTCGATACTCAATATCGTACCCACTATTTCCACAGCCCATTTGACAAATCGTCTTGAGAGTTAGGGTTTATGCATAATATTTTTCAACGGGTAAGTTGTCACAAAACATATGGGGTAGCACCAAAAATATGGTTTCATTTTCCTAGAGACGCTTAGCAAAGCGAGCGCCAATTTTTCCAGGTAAGGGTACCTAGTTTTGGCCTCACCTAGAGTCCTGCTATCATAGTAAATTGGAAATTGCATACCTTGTTCTTCTTGGACCAGGACTCCACTTACCGCTATTTTTTATACTGCCAAGTACAGGTATAGTTGTTCGTGTGCCTTCAGTGTGTGAAGCAGCGGTGGGCTCGATAGATTCCCGCTTGAGTTCCTCCAGGTCCCATTGACACTCCAGGGTCCATTAAAAGTTGTTCTTCTTCTTGAGTAGCGAGAAGAATCCGTGACTCTTATTCGAGGACCTCGAGATGAATCGTCCTATGGTGGCTATAAGTCCGGTTAATCTTTGCACGACCTTCACATTGTCCACGACTGTGATATCTTCGATGGCTTTGATTTTGTCGGGGTTGATCTTGATTCTTCAGTTGGATACCATGAACATGAGGAATTTACCTGATCCGACTCCGAATGCATATTTCTTCGGTTTCAGGTTTAGATTGTACTTCTTCAATATGCTGAAGGTCTCCTGCAAATATTTTAAATGGTCCTCTATTCGCAGGGACTTAACCAACATATCGTCAATGTAAACCTCCATCGATTTTCCTATTTATTCCTCAAACATCCGTTTACTAGGCGTTGATAAGTGGCACTGACATTTTTTAATCCTAATGGCATCACGTCATAGCAGTACGTAAAGGAGGGTTTTTTCCTGATCATCCGGGTCCATCCGTATTTGGTTGTACCCGAAATAGGCATCGAGAAAACTTAGGATCTCGTGGTTGGTCGTGGCATCGATCATGCGATTGATGTTGGGTAGAGGGAAAGAGTCCTTGGGACACACTTTGTTAAAATCCTTATAATCTACACACATTCTTAATTTGTTCCCTTTTTTTAGGGACTACCATTATGTTTGCTAACCAATCCTGTAATTTAACCTCCCGAATGGACCCTATTTTAAAGAGTTTAGATACCTCGTCCTTGATGAAAGCATGTTTGACCTTGGATTGGGGCCTCCTCTTCTGCGACCGAATGGAATTTCGAGTCCAGGCTTAGCTTGTGAGTGGTTATCTCCGGTGGGATCCCTGTCATATTAAGGTGGGACCAAGCGAAACAATCTATTTCTTCGACCGTTGATTTAGTAGCGCTGGAGTCATCCGGCACTATAAAAGATCGGATAACACCATAATCATTATCTTTGTCAGTCCCATGCTTATCCGATTGCGTCGCAGCTGGTATCAATGATTGTTATTTGGCCTCTTGCTTTGTATCCGAGCTTGGTTCCTTTGACGTTGTGAGTGTTGATATCAGAATCACTTCTTCAACTGCAAACATCTCTTTTGCGGCTGGTTGTTCTCCGTAGATTGTCTTAATCCCTCCCGGTGTTGGGAACATTAACACATAGTGAAGAGTCGAGGGCACTGCCCTCATGTTGTAAATCCATGGCCTCCTAAACAGGGCGTTGTATCTCATTTCTCCTTCTATCACATAAAACTTGGCATCTTGGATGGTCCTGGCAGCATTGACTTGGTAATGTTATGTCCCTTTTAGTGGTTTCACATGCCATGTTGAATCCGTTTAGATATCGGACTGCAGGTATGATTTGATCTTGAAAACCGAGCTGTTCTACGACTCTCGACCGGATGATGTTGGCCGAGCTACCTGGATCAATTAACACATGCTTAACTCGAGATTTATTTATGAGTACAGATATTACTAGTGCATCATTGTGGGGCTACACGATCCCTTCTGTGTCCTCATCATTGAAAGACAAGGTTCCTTTTGGTATGTAATCTTGAGTCCATTTTTCCATTGTGATGGACACTTTGGTGCGCTTCGACATCGGCCCTTGAGGGACATCGACCCCACTGATGATCATGTTGATGATGTGTTGGGGTTATTTCGGTTTGGTCTGTTTATTAGAATCCATGTTTCTGAAATAATTCTTGGCTCGGTCGCTCAAAAATTCTCGAAGGTGCACGTTGTTGAACAACCGGGCTACTTCCTCTCTCAACTATCGGAAATCCTCCGTTTTGTGGCCATGACTGTCATGATATTTGCACATCTGGTTAGGATCTCTTTAGGCTAGATCGGATTGTAAGAGTCTAGGCCATTTAGTATCTTTGATGCATCCAATAGCTGATACGATGGCAGTTGCATCAACATTAAAGATAATCCGATAACCTTGGTGCTTCTTTAGGTCCGATAGGCCTGTCGAAGCCGTTCTTGCTCATAAGTCCTCGAGTACTCTAGCCTTGATCACTTCTCCTTTCATTTCGCATAGAACTTCACCCGAACCCATTGTTTCTCCGGTCTCCATTATATAGCTGGTACCGATCTTTGTTTAATCTCGGTTCACGGTCGATATCTCTCTTGATTCTGTCAATGGGTCTGACAGGATAAATGGACCTGAATGGAGCCCCAAGTTGATCATCTTCAACTCTGATTTTTGATTGATACTGATTATGCACATATGACCCAAGTAACAGCTGGGTACTCTATCAAATTCTGCTTCAACTACTGCGAAGCCACCGAGCTTCGAACATTGATTCCTTGGGTGAAATCTTGAATGACCCAATCATTAGTGTTCGATGTGTCACGACCCAAACCGATGGGCCGCGACGGGTGCTCGAGTCCTACCTGTCAGACACCCCTAAGTATGCATCTAAGATATAAACCTAGATAACATTTGTTGAATTACGAGAATAATATACATGAAGAAAACCTCCCGAAAGGCATATGTACATATACGTGCAACATACGTAGGGCGAGCCAACAAGGCGGCTATAGACAACTATAGACCTCAAAACTGGAAGCCGACAAGGCCACATACTATCCAACTAGACATAATGTCTACAGACCTCTAATAGAAATATAAATGTACAAAGACGGGACTGAGCCACGTCNTGCCCACTCTCACTGATCAGGGATCCTAAGAAGGGGGACCGACAACTTGCCTACTTGCACCTGCGGGCATGAAACGCAGGCCCCGTAAAATAGGGCGTCAGTACGAAAAATGTACTGAGTATGTAAGGCATGAAAATTAGTACGTAAAAGACATAGATGAAACATGGAATATAAAAATATGTCTTTAAATCTGTATAACTTTATAAATTCTAAAATATTTATAATGTCATGCCATGCATAGGTATGGGTGTACATTATATCATCAAGCCATTGAGGGTATCCCATCATATCGTCTCCGTCACTGTGGGAAATATCATCAACATATACCAGCTGATCAGGTGGTGGTGTGTATATAAATGTCATAACCTTTTTCCATATCCCATATACATATATTTACATATATACGCGTATATAACGCCATCTGGTCATGGGTCAATGCACATGTATAAATGGGTGAAATGCATGAAAAATACGTAATAATCTCAATATTACTTCCGGATAAACTTTTTCAACTGCGTATTATTCTGAGACCCATGAACAGAAGATAATAATAATTCTCATGGGGAATTAAGAATATAGACACCCCTAGTATTTCTATAAATAGAGTAATTTATGGAAATTGTGCGTTTGCTCGTTTCTTCTTTATAATTTGGACCATGCGAAAAGAAAAAAGGGATGGCCTTAACATATCTAGAGTAGGAAAAACTCTGTATAATATTCTCGTAGGAGAATTTGATTGCAAAAAGTCTTGTTGCTAACGTCTTGTAGGCTTCAACGGTAACGTTTCTAACGTACTGTTGGTTTTTCACTATAAGAAATTATCCTTATTGTGGTGACTAAAGTCGCCACAAAAGCCCTAGAAGTCGCTGCTAAAAGGGAAAGCGGCGACTTTTGTATTGCCATAAGGAAAACCGTAACTGAAGGTTATTTGTGGGTGATATTTATAGTCGCCACTAAAAGAACATATTTTGTGGCGACAAAGTTGCCACAAAAGGTTGGGAAAAACGCTACAAAAAATTATTCCATAAAAATAAATATTAGATGGGTCGCCACTATATATTCACCTTTAGCAGTGACTACTGTCGCCACAAAATATATTTATGTTCAGTGGCAAGATTATGTCGCCACTATAAATATTCTTTAGTAGCGACTAAAATTGCCACAAAAAATATTTATGTTTAGTGGCAGGATTATGTCGCCACTATAAATGTCATTTAGTAGCGACTAAAGTGGCCACAAAAGGTTTAGCCATGAAAGACACAATGTTTTCTGTAGCGACTAAAGTCGCTGCAAAAGAAATTGACCTTCTGTGGCAACTTATCTATCGCAATAATTACTAATTTTTTGACAAAACTATGTCGTCACTAAAAGTTATTTTCTCAGCAATTATAACAACCAAAATTTTATATACATTTCCATACCAGTAGGAACCTAATTCACTCAAATTTCATATAGAGATATTCATATCAATTGACTATCAATATTAAAGCAACCAATAATGCTTGACAAACACCGAAAGAATTTCTCAAGCCGAATATTACAAATATTATCATTACTAAAAAGTCAATTACATATATACTACCCGACACTTCATTGTGCATTGTAATTGTACGCATATACATATCCCAAAAAAGACAAAATATTAAGTGCCTTGTAACTGCTCCTTGCTCGACACCATGCTTGAACCACTGTTTAAGTGTCTTGTCCCTGCTAGACAAAAGGAATATATATAAGGAACATAATGAGATTTTTTATATCCAATTCATTCTTTTCATGCTATACTTTATACTCATATTACTCTAATTCATTCCAATATCAATTGAATGAGTCTCTAATTGTGTGAAAAATGTAATACTATGGATACATTGAAGCATCAAACAATCTCTATTGCAAATAAGTAGAACTAGACCAGCTAGCAAATAAACCAATTACAACTACTTAAACAATCAACAAAAAATCAGCTGAGTAGAAGTAAAATAATTAACCAAAAGTCTTGCTCAGCCAAAGGAAAGCTCTATAGCATAAGAGGCCAAGTCCCATCGTAGACAATAAATTTGGGTCGAGAAAATAAAATCAAGACCGAAAAAATATCACAACTATCGTAGTATTTTATTTCGAACATTTGAGTGTTACAATCTCTATGATTCCTCTGATTCTATTTTTCTAGTATAAATTCAAGGGCTTTTGAGGTTGATCTTGAATTGTAATTTGATTTATCCGTCATGAACACTTTGATTGTTGCCACGAATTTTATCACAAACAAGTAGCCTTGATCTTGAACGCCTTGTATTTGATTTGACTTCGTTCTTGATCTTGAATACTTGAATTGTTCTTCGTTCTTGAGGTTGAACTTGATTGCTTGAAGCTTGAAATTTGTAGAGAATTTGCGGGGTTTGATCCACTAGCTTTCTCTTGCTTCTTGTTATAACTTCTGGTGTCTTTTCTGAGTTATGAAGACCCCTATTTATAGTTGTGGAAAGAAGGAGTTGTGATAAGAATAAACTCTTTCCGACCAATCAAATTGAAGTGTGACATGGCCGCATTTGATTGGCCAGAACCTGTCACTTGCACACGTGGCGCGATTTCATTGGACTTTTAGTGTGACTGGGCATGCCTTGTCATTTTGACACATGGCACGATCCTATTGGCTCTTTCGTTTGACTTGGCGCGCCATGTCATTTGACATATGGCACCAAACTGGGCCTCTAGGAAGATAACATCTTGGGCTTAATTAAGTGGGCTCATTACTTTAGCCCAATTAAATGGGCTAGCCCAATAGATTAAGACTTATTTATTTAATCCATATATATTGGACTAATATAATTAATCTAATAATATTTTCCCATAATATTTATTTGGACTAACATATATTTAAAGTACAGTCCAAAATATTTTATTGAATTTCAATTCAATAAATTTTGCATGCTTACAAATGCCCCCTACTTCAAGGCTTATCGATTTTTTTTAAGACTAGACTTGAAGTACATGTGAGGATCACTCTTTCATTTTTCATTATTTTTGTACGTAGCTTCACGTGGCATTTCAGTGATATACGTAAATGCTAGCATGACTCCAGTGCTTGAGTAGCAATTAGTAGATTATATAATAATTCATTTATGAATACTTAGCATGTTGCATTACGTGACTTTCTTGTCTTCCAATTGGAAAAGGATATGGTATCCTTTCTTTAAGGAAATATCCTCCTTATTGGATTCTCACGTGAACCAACTTCAATTAGGAGACTAACTAGTACAATTCAAATCCTTGTTGGGTTTCGTTCATAGCAGCCATCCCACATCGATATCTAGCTCTCTATAGCAACCTTACGACATCTATAAATACCACACACCCTTCATTCCATTAGTACCAATTTCAGCGTGTGTTGAAATTTCTTTGAGTCTATTTTTAACGACTTGGAGGCATTGATGCGAAGGTAATTTCTTCTTCTTCTTTTCTTGTGCTTTCTTCTTTGTTGTCTTTTTTTTTTCTTTTTTCTTTTTTGTAGGTCAATCGAGAAAGATATGTTCTTCAATAAGATGATCCATGCATGAAGAAGATAATCTTGGGGTGTGAGGGGATGGGTACTCATCCTTGCCCGATTCTTGGAGAGATTACTCTCAATGTGGCCCGATTCTTGGAGAGATTACTCTCAAAATGGCCCGATTCTTGGAGAGATTACTCTCAAAATGG